CTCATTTCTGCTCTGCTGCGATTCTAGTCTGAGTGACTTCATGGAGTCACAGACTTTGTATAAAGCCACAAAAACATAAGAAATCACTTGGCAGGTAGATCATGACAAGGCCCACCTATTTAAGGCATTTCTGTCCACTCAGAAATCTAGTGGCTTTTAGTGACACCCCAAAAAACCCAGCATGAGAAGTACATTTATAAATGTGCCTCTGAGTTTGTTCTGCTTTCCTTATATACAGAGGGTCTCTTCTGGTTACCTAGTGCTGCTCTGACAAGAATATACCACAAATGGGATGGCTTAAACAAACAGGAGTTTATTCTCTTACAGTTCAGATGCTGTAAGTCCAAGTTCAAAGTGCCAGGCTCTAGGGGCAAGGTGAAAGCCCCTCAACCTTGGGGTCCAGCTCTGCCTCCGGCTCCCGGCCCACTGGCCCTAGAGGCGTTTCCTCACTCAGACAGCTGCTGGCTGCTGAGGCTGACAAACCCAAGGCTGACAAATTTAAAAAAAAAAAAAAAAGGCACAGTCCTGATGTTACCAAACCACACAGCAGGCCATTAATTAAGTCCATTTAAGTCCCAAGGTCGGCAGAGCATGGCAGGCTGCTGAGTAACGACACAGCTACATGCAGGGTCCAAGCGTGCCATAAGCCAACCACCATTTCCAAAGCTGCTTCTTATACACGGGAAGCAGACCACATTTCCAAAGCAGCTACTCAGCTGCTTGTGGTAGATCCCACCATGGAGTTGACTGCCAGTCTCATGATGGGGAATACTACATTCAGCTGCCCAGCCATTCAATCAGGCCCAGCCAAGTTGACACACAAACTGAACTACCACAGGGTCCTTAGCTGTGGCTTCTGGAAAGCCCATCAACTTAACAAAGTGATGCTGACACTGGGACATGCCTGTGGAGGATGGCTGTAATAGCCTGTGTTGTTGTTGTTACATGCCGTCAAGTCATCTCCAACTCATAGCAACCTTACAAACAATAGAATGAACACTGCCCAGTCCTGTGCCAGCCTCACAATCCCTACTATACTTGAGCCTATCGTTGCCGCCACTGTATCAATCAATCCCGTTGAGGGCCTTCCCCACTTTGGTTGACCCTCCACTTTACCAAGCATGACATCCTTCTCCAGAGAATAGTCCCTTATGACAACAGGACTGAAGTAGGTGAGACGAAGTCTGGCCATTCTCACTTCCAAGGAGCATTCCAGCTGCACTTCTTCCAGGACAGATTTGTTAGTTCTTTTCGCAGTCCACAGTACTTTCAGCACTCTTTGTCAGTACCACAACTCAAAAGCATCAACTTTTCTTTGGTCTACCTTGTTCACTGTCCAGCTGTCACATGCATAGGAGTCAACTGAAAATACCATAGCTTGGGTTAAGTGCATTTTAGCCATCAAGGAAATATCTTTGCTTTTCAGCCCTTGAAAGAGGTCTTTTGCAACAGATTTGCCCAACGCAGTATGTCTTTTGATGCCTTCACTGCTGCTTCCATTGGCACTGACTGTACAACCAAGTAATATGAAGTCTTTGACAACTTCAATCTTTTCTCCATTTATCATGGAATAGCCTGTATGTTTATGTAATTTGAAGAACTGGCCACATGTAACTCCTAGCACAAAAACTCTCAACTGCCTAGATTGAGACAGCCAGTAAACCCCACACAATGAGACAAGTCTATCAAAGCACTAGTGCTTTCGAGAATCAAGATGCTCCCCCTTAATCTATATTAAGAAGTCTGTCTCCTGGGCAAAAAAAAAAAAAAAAAAAACAAACTCAGGAAAAAACACAACAATGTGGTAAGTAGAGAAAAGGTGATTTTTCTGGGAGGAAAAGTGAACAAAAAGACAGTGGTCCGAGGATTCACCCAAATTAGGGATGTGAAGTGATGAAATTACCTCAGTCCAGCCCAGAAACGGGTCCATCTATAGAACAGAGCTGGTCGAACAGGAAAGATTAGTATCTGCCATTGTTGTTGTTGTTGTTGTTATTTGCCATCGAGTCAGCCCCGACTCAGAGTGACCCCTCCTTGGGTTTCCGAGGCAGTATCACTACGGAAGTAGAAATACCCAACCTTCCTTCCGAGGAGTGGCTGGTGGGTTTGAACCGCCAGCCTTCAGGTTAGCAGTCAAGTGCCTTAGGCACTATGCTACCAGAGCATTAGCACTGAGGAAGTATCAGAGAAGAAAGGCACTGAGCTATCACCTGAGGGACAAAAGCACTGGGAGAGAAATAGTGTGACCTCAGAGAGGACAGGGACTGTAAGTGTTAACTTCTCAGGAGAGACTTCTCGGTATTTAAAATATACTTGAAGAAGATAATGATGGAATTGTTGAAGACTGCCCTCTAGGACTGCAAGGTGGGCACGCTTGTCCTGGGACCCCGGTGCTCTCACCATGATTTCCGTCCCCGAAGCTCCTCAGAGTAAGTCTGAGACTGTGATGATTAACACTCAGGACAAAGTCAAATGCCTCACAGACGTACTTCCTTGAAACCATCTCCACCCTCTTTCCTTAATCCCAGCAAAAAACAGTAACAACATCAACAAAAAACCAACGCCACTGAATCAATTCTGACTTATGCCAATGCCATGTGTTATACCATAGAACTGCTCCATAAGGGTTTCTTGGTTATAATCTTTATGGAAGCTGATCACCAGGCCTTTCTCTCACTGTACCGCCTGGGTGAGTTTGAACTGCCAAACTTTTGGTTAGTAGATGAACAGAATCCATTCATATCACTCAGGGACCCTTTCCTCAGCAAAGCTGATACCAAAATGAAAAGGTGCCCCATAAGGACTTCTTTTCCCAGCAGTTCAAAAGAAAAAAGCCTCACAGTTCTATTTCAACAGATCCAAGGAGTTTAAAACACAAAATCAGGTTCCAGTCAGTAGAAGTCTCCTTGACCAGCTCTGAGTCCTGTCCGTCCGTGTCCCGTCTCGGGCACCCCCCCCCCCGCCCCCGTCTATGCTGTCAGTTTCTATGTGGGGGAAGGCTCTAATCTTATCTCCATTTCTGTGTCCAGGGCAGACCAGCTCTAGACTTTCCATAACTCCTACCCCACAGCATTTCAAGACCTACTGCCCATTTCCATAAGTTCCTCCCATGTCAAGCCAAGTCTTACACTGAGCAACAGTTCAGCTTCCAGTCCAGTCTATGCCTACAGAAAGTGCCAACTACAAGTGGATTTGTTTATGAGTGCATGACAATAAACAGAAGGGAGCACATCCCTGAAGATTCACAGGGCCAGGAGTGCCACGCTTAACACATTCAACACGGCACACTCCTCAGCCATAGTAACTCTGCCCTGTTGTAATCACATTTCCCTCTCTGTATCACAGCTGTCAAACCCTAGGGATAAGTCAGGCCATCAGCATCAATCAAACCCATGAAAACAGCCAGACTCAAACTAAGAAATGTCAAGATTAAAGAATAAAATAAAAATGAAGCGTGCAGTTCCTTTAGAGAGAAAAGAAGGCCAGCTAGAGGCGAGAGAGGTAGGAGGGCAGTGAAGACCCACTTCACTAAGTCATCACAGATTATCATTGTGGGAACAAGTGGGTATTTGTTTAGCAGGGAAAATAGCTAGGCAAGTAGGGACTGAAAAAGGAAAGAAAAAGTGACAAATATACACAAAGTACTTGTAAGACCTATCAAGACCAGGCAACTACAAGAAAGGAGTGTCCAAGATCATAGATTCTTTAGCGCTACCTAATGCCTTGGAGAATTCATCCACAGCAACTTCACATTACAAGCAAGCAAAGCTGCAACTCCAGCAACCGGACCCTACAAGACATATGCACACAGCCGCAGGATCCCTCCTCAGTACTGAGCAGCATACTTTCTGCAGGGTCTCCACAGTCTGCCCACTGTGAACACAGTGGGGAAGTTTTGAGAGCAAGTCATTTTTGGAATTGCTCTGTGCAGAGCAAAACGCAATTATACTCATAGGCCTGGCCTACAAGACAACTGAAGCTTCTTGCCTCTAATAAGGGAAGGACCTGCAATAAGAAAACACCACCATCCTCCAGCTGGTGGTACAAATGACAACAGTGTAGAACTTCTAGTTTTTCAGAAGGGCCATCTTTCTCTATCACGGAACTCTATCACAGCAAGGGCCCTGGTGATTAAGCCTGGGGATTCTAGGACCTCCCCAAGCCTTCTGAGCCTCCTTTTCTATTAAGATACTAGTCTGCTCAAGTCTCAAAGAAAAGAAAGAAGCTTGAAATCTAAACAATCAAGGTGGGTTGGGAAAAGGAACAGCCAGTGGAAGCTGTTAGGAAACTTAATTAGGAAAGCTTGGAACAGAGATGGAACAGGTGGATCTGTGCTGGGACAAAGAGGAGAGAAAAGGAGGTATGGAGAAGTAAGCGGTTTGCCCTGACCAAAGGGGAAAATAAAGCCAAGGGAAAAGGTTCACCCTGGGAAGGGGACGCTGGGAAACGAAACGCATGGATCTAACAATCCAGGTATTGCAAAGGGATGCAAGGTGGGGGGATTTAAATGGTAACGGGAGATGGGAAATTCTTCAGGAGTAAAGGAGCTGAAAAGAGCTCAGCATCAGACTAGGGATTTAGGATTGTGGGCTCAAAGAGCGGGGAGCAGGCTAAGAAGAGCCCTGAGATGGCGCAGAGGGGGATGCCACCTACGGGGGGTCGTGGCCTTAAGACTGGGAAGTGGAGCAACCTTAATTCACGACGACAAGGTGGGAGGAGGGCGAGTGTTTTGGGGGCACCTCAGAAGAGAGATAATTGCGGGTGTGCAGGGGAAGGGCAGAGGTGACCCTGGCTAGAGGCTGCAGCGATAAAGCGAGGAACTGAGGACTCTGGCTAGTCTGGGAATGCCCAGCCTGAGGTTACCGGGGAAGAAGGCACCTCCGCCAAAGGGCCCCGATCCCCAGGCCTAAACTCTCCATGCTGGAGGGGGTGCCCGAAGCGGGGATGGGCCCGTGGCTCCTCGCGCAAGGCCTGAGGAGGGGCGGGGGTCCCGGACTCACGCATCAATGTGCTGAAGGCCACGACGCCGAGCAGCCCCTGCAGGAAGATGCCGAAACTGTGCATGAGCGCGCCGCTCTCACAGCGGCCCGCCCCGGACGCGACCGTGGAGGGCGGCCCGCCTGGCAGCCCGCGACTCGCATTCCCGGCAAGGCCCTGCATGGTAGGCCCGGCCGGAAGGGCGCGGAATGCCGCGGCCCGCCCAGCCTCGCTGCCTGCCGGGGCAGCGCAGCGGACCTCGGAGCCAGGAGCCAAGAGCCCGGAGCCCGAGCCCGAGCCCGGTGCCGGTACCTCCGCCCGGCCGCCGACTTGGCGCCGCGCGTAACCCGACGTCCGAGATCAAGGGCGCCTGATTGGTTTAGCCCGACGCGGGGGCGAACCCCTGCGCTCCCTAAGAGGCGGGGCTCCGACCCGGACGAAGGGGCGGGGCCTCGGTACCCGCCCACAGGTAGTACAGACCAGGTGAGTGGGTACACTGGACACTGTAATGGAGCCCGGGAACGTCGAGCTCCTGGTCGGGAGAGCAAGAGCAGGGGCAGTCTGGTTATATTCCCTCCCAGATAAATCCCTCATACTTTGGAGAACTTAAATTGAAAAATAATTCTGGATCTGACTTCCGACTAAAAACACTTCCGACTCGGTGGTTCTGGCGTGAGGCCCAATAGTCTGCAGTTTTAGTAAACTGCCTGAGTTATTCTGAAAAGTAGTTAAGGAAAATAATCCAAGACTGCACACAGGCGTCTTCCTTCCAACCCAGATCTTTAGCGTCCTTCTGCTTTCCTTTCCGGTAGTACCCAATATCCTGGGTAAAGTTTCATTAAAGCCCTGAGTCAGCTTTTTTTCCCCTCCTATACTTAAACGGTCACTCTACTCACCCATTCATTGAAAATATACACGTTCTTTACTGAAAACATATATAGTCACATTTTCCCACCATATCCACTGAGGGAGTACAATTACACAAAAAAACAACAAATTTCTAAAAAAAAAAAAAAAAAAGCCAAATGGTTATTTGCCAGAATCTCCATCATTTCTCTCCACACACATCTTTATTCCCATCTAAACCTTTCTCTGATTTCTCAGAAACTGCTCTCTTCCTCTACCTATCTAGGGCCTCTAGATCCTAGTTTCTCGTCTCCAGATCTCTCGTTGGCCCTCCAGAGCCCTTGACCTTCCTGCTGTATCCACTTAGTGTTGGTGTACACAAGGTATTATCCCAGTAGATATACTGGGCTACATCTGTTGTACAATACCATCTTTAGGGAGATTCCCTAAAAGATAGTCACCAAGAAATTCCAGTTATCCCCAAGCTTTCTTTTTTAAGAGGAATGTTAACCTGATTATACAGAGGACAGATATGCCATTCGCTCCCTATAGCCTATTCTCCCAACTTAAGTGCACTTTCCCATCTCTGTGCCTTAATGTGACATTCTAGCTGCACAGAATACTGTTCCCTTTCCTCCTCCATGAAATGATACTCATGCTTCCAGGCCAGTCTGATCTCCTTGCCCCATTCTGTGTTCCCACACCTTGTATGTACTGCCCCACTATCTTTTCATACTGCTAAGTTAGGTGGCTGTACACATGGCTCTCTCCCACAGCCGAGTGTGAGCCTTCTGAGGGCAGGAACTGCTTTTTATTCACAACATAGTGCCTGGCACCAAGAACATGCAACAAAGTGCTTTTTAAGGTAAACTGAATTTTAATTTATAAAATTTAAAACTCTCCACAAGTATTGGTCATGGGCAAATACTGTAAGTCAAGTTAATTAATGTGTAAGGAAAAACCTGCATTACGGTCTTTAAGTCTATGAAGGGATCTTATGCGGATGATCAATAGCAATAGTCCACATTCAGTGGGAACCAAAAAAGAGGATGTATGGTTAAAACAGAAGGAACTGTGGTTGGGCATAGACTATATAAATTGCTTGAACATACAGTAAAGAGAAACTGCACATAAAGCTAGAAAACAAAAGTAAATTTTTGACAAAGCACTGCTCTGCACAGTCAGATCCTTAAGGCCCGTCGCTGCTGTACCATGGAAAATGTAGAACAAGATACAGTCTTCAGACATCAGTGGCAGAATCCCAAAGCAAGAAGCAAGGTTGCTGCTAGGACATTTGGTTCTTCCTACCCTTCCTAAATAAGAATTAAAAAATACCTAAGCCCAGAAGGGAAAGGATCAGACAGCAGGAGATGGGGAAGGATTCTGGAAAGGTTCATTTTATTAAAGAAAGAAGGAACTCTTTCCTCCCTGCAGAGATGATTCCCTAGGCCCCAATGGAAAGATTTTTTTGAAGGATTTATTTCGACCAAGATGCTTTCCTTGCTGTCAAATCTGCACAAAGGAAGTTGAACATAGCTTAAGATGTGTTTTAATTTTCTCACAACCACTTACAGCCATAATATACAAGTTTGTATACAATCTTATTTACTAAAGACAAAAACCAACCAAATATTCATCCAAGAGCTTTTTCTTTCTTCTTGTTGTTTTTAATCCTTTGAAGGTATACCATCATACTTGATGGAAGTCATTTTAATAGATATTCTTGTGCATATTTCATCTTAAGTGTATTTTATCTTCAATGCATAACTTTTGAAATTAAGGGGAAAAAACAGCAAGGAGGAAGGATACAATGCATATGCATTTCATTGTGTTTCAAACAAGCAATTAAAAAAAAAAAAAGCAAATACATTAAACAAAGTGCATCAGTTCCAATTAGTCAGTATTAGAAAGAGGCCTAAGGAATGTGCTGGAACCAGCCAGGAGTCCCTCCCTGGCATGCCTCTGATTGTCTTTAGAGATATTCAACCAAAAAAAAAAAAAAAAAGAGAGAGAGAGAAGGGAAGGAGGAAAATGAGCACTTAAAAGCTCAAGAGAAACACTTAAGCTATCTTCCTCAGAGCTTTCCTGCAAACGGAGCTAAGGAACTGCCCAGCTTTAACTTTGTCTTAACTTCATAACCTCTCTCAATCATCTCCTTTGTGACTTACTTGCCCCAAAAGCCTACCCTCATCCTTTCAACACTATTTACCCATCTCCATTCACTAAGCTAGGCATGTAGTTAGGCTGAATTAACCACGTAGAAGCCTGAGGTTTCCACACATCCTGAGAAGGGGGCATCCCCATCAGCAAAGGTGGCACCATTTCACTCGTCAGCATCATCCTTTGCCTCCAGAATTAGCTGGAGATCCTTACCTCCTCCCAGGGTCAGCACTTTTACTGTTGGCGTTGAAACTTGTCCAGCAAGGCTGCAGCTTACTTCCCTTTTAAAAACAGTCCTTTGTGATGGAACATAGCACCAGTAGATACCCAACTGGCTTGTTAAGCCAGAAAAGGCATAAAGGGAGTGAGTTTTAGGCCAACTTCTCCAAGGTCTCCAATCCCCGCTCATAGTTTTACAGCTTCAACTTCTGAAACACTGCAACCTAGAAAATCCATCTCCAGTGCATTCACCCCTAAGACTGCCCTCAGAAACAAGGCTATTTGTGTGGTCTGGAACAAGTACTGAGGGAAAACCTCCAAGTCATCTTAGAACTAGATCCCTTTGGACTGGGCTTTGAGTTTAGAACTCTTCTACCAAAATGACATGTCTATAGGTGGTTTATTTGGGTAAATTCAAATTTCCAAAATATGTACATTCTTACATAAGGGATGGGAGATAACAAAATTCATTAGTAAAATGTTTTAAAGTGAATAAAAGAATTATAATTGCATGAAAGTGGCTCATTTCTTTTTGGTTCTACCAGAGGCCTCCATCTTACAGAATTTCTGAGCCAGCACCATGACCATGACAGTTAGGGTTACCTTCAGTGGACCCAGGACCAAAGAAATTCAAATTTTAAAAGGGTCCTGATCCCCACCAAGATTTAGGCTTTCATTTCTGTTAGTGATGCCTTCTCCTTCAGCTTTTAAGGCCAACAAACATCCCACCAATAACAAAGAACACTTTTGAACTTCTACATACTCACACAAGCAATATCCCAATACCACAGTTCAAACCCAAGATGGGTTTCCACTGTCAAGGCATACAGCTTTTGTGGAAAACAATTAAAACAGTAAATGGCATCTAAATATAAGTCTTTGGTGATAGGTGCTAAGTAAATATAAGTGCTGTGACAGCTGTGCTAATGAATGTCTCCATCTAGATATGTGTTACCTACTGTTAAGAATTCCCTGATGTTCTGTTGTGTCCCCTGGAAATACTTTTGGGCTTGAGAGAGGGCGATGGTTCTGAGTCCTCCCCAACCTAAGGTCTTCCTATAGCTTTTAAATTCTATTCAGGTATTATGTTACTACTGAATTAGTACTGCAGAGGAAGTAAAATGTAATCAAGTCCTCAGGAATCTATGGTGCAATGTTCTCTTATAGTAAGATTTATCTTACTTTCAAAGAAAGGCCAAGTTCTGAACTTTTTTTTTTAATGTCTGCCACTATTATAACTCAATAAGGATTTGCCAAGAAGCTCCTCTCTTCCAGAGGTTGCTAAGTACCCTTCCATAACCTCATGTATCTATAGATGCTGGGAGCCACCTACATTGCAAAAAAAAAGGCAGATAAGGTAAAAGCTCTAGGCTCCCACTAGTGCATTCCCTGCCTTAGCCACTTCAACTCTGCTTTAACTGAGAAGGGATGAAAGTGGTTTACAATGAAAAATACCATAATCCCCAGCAGCTCACATAATACAGTCAAAAAGTCATAGAACATTGGCATGTGCAGTCAAAGGTTTGCCTAACACACTGACACAGCAGCCAGCTTTTCAAGGGCCAAGATATAGTCTGTTAACCTGTTTCTTATTTGTTAATTCAGGAACAAAAATGGATTATGGGAAACTTTCCTTTCTGACCTCATGCAAACTATGGGGGCAACTGCAGGAGAAATCCAGATAAATGCAGTCCCCTTATAATGCACCTGTCATAAATTTAAGAGATGAGTCTTTGTAAAAAACAAAGTTCCTGTTCCTACATGCAACATATGAATGTTTTACCCCAACATAGTAGACTAGGAAAATCTATTTCAGAATCATAAGAATCAGATTGTCATTGCTGTCCAACACAGCCTCAGCAGCTTTGAGGCAAAGATAATCTAAACTTTACACTTAAAAAACGTCCTGTGTCAAATTCCCAAGCAATTATCCTCCCCTATGTAGTATTTGGGGGTAGGGGCTGGGAGGGAGATAATTTTTCTTCAATGCAGTTGCCTGATGAACTATCATTAGAAGAATGTA